AGGGGGGAGAGAGAGAGAGAGAGAGAGACAGAGAGAGAGAGAGAGAGAGAGAGAGAGAGAGAGAATATATACAAATGCCTCTTTAGATTGGAAAACTTGTTTTTAATTTTTTTTACCTTGGCCGTAGACACTCACATGGATAATGAAAACCAGTGGCAAATCTGATTCCAACAAGCAATCCCTTTAAATACAAGCTGTGGAGCCAGGAGGATTCACGGTAATTACACCCCTAAGAAAGCAACTCCAAGATCAGAGCCCCATGATCGATTTCCATTCATAGCTAAGCACAACAAGCCAACTCTCGATTTATCCACAGAGGGCAAAGGGCTCCTCCCTAGACTCAGAAACCCTCTAATAGGAACATCTCCAGGAATTAAAAATGAAAAGCCAGTTGATCAATTCTGGCTTTAGTTTCTTGAAATTGTATTAAAATCTTTTTTTTCTTTTAAATTACACCCTTTCCACTGGAGTCACTAACTCCAAACCACGGATTTTACAAGATTTCCTAACATACAGGTATGAACCAGCACTGCTGGTTTCCAATGCGTAATTTAATTACTCACACAGTTGAGGGCTTGGAAGAGTAATTGACAGGCTGTCTGATAAAAGCAGCAATGAGAACAAAGGCCTTAGGATTTTTTCATGCTGGCACTAAACTTCAGAAAAGATATCGGACTTCTGCAAAACAGAACAGTCTCCAAGAGAGTAATTTGTGGGACCCTGGTGGTATTCACGAAACGCTCCCTGATATTTAACCAAGCTTTTCTGAGCTGGGAATGACGTCCTGCTGGCATCGATTGCTCTGCAGGACTCGAGACTTGAAGGAGAATCATCATAATTATATCTGATGTTTGTCGAGCGCTTTGAAAGTTTGCAAAGCAAACCATCTCATTTAAGCCTAACGATCCTGTCAGGGAGGCAGCATCCGATAGACAGGTTTCATCGTCCTTTTCACAGGTGAGAAAATTCAATCGCAGGATTCTAGATGTGGAGCTGGAAGAAACTGTCGAAGCCATTTGGGCGAATCCTCTCATTTTACAGACGAGGACACTGAGGCACAGGGATGGGAAATGACTTGTCTGAGGTGACACAGCCAGTCAGTGGCTGAGGCTAGGCCTGAACCCAAGCCCTCTGACTCCAGCCCTGTCACTTTTTCATCACTGACCAGGCAGCCGAGGGCAAAGCTGAGCGAGTGGGACCCCAAGTGGTGGAACTTGAGTGGTGCTGGCTCAAATTGCCTTGGCTGTCCGAGGCAGGGAGTCCTGCCTTTTCATGGCTCTCTCCCACCAGGAGATGCCTGATGGCTGAGCTCATGAGCCTGCTGCATTCCACACTCCCAGGGCCCCTTGCACACATCCCATCATAAATCTGTTCTCGACAACCTGGGGCCAGAGCTTTATACAACTTGGGGGAACCCAAACATCCCGGGAGATATGCTTTTTTCCCTGGGCGTCACCCAGATCTGGCTTGTCTAGATGATAAGCAGCCCAATTAGTGTCTCAACTAAAGTGCCTGAGCTTTCTCCCTTACCAGCCTACGCGTGCATGACACACCTTTGTGGAAAGCCCTGGTTACCCAGGAAAACATGGGGGGGAGATAAAAGAAACAGACTAATTGCCTTGCAATAGGCATTGGGGACCAATGGAAAGAGGGCAGTGCTAAAAGGCAGAGGGCCTGGGTTCAAAACCTGGCTCTGAAACTACCTTGTGACCCTAGACAAACCATTCCATTGCTAAACCTCAGTTTCTCAAGCTCCCCCAAATGAGGGGTTTGATGAAATTACCTCTAAGGCACCTACCAGCTCTAAAGTGATGATCTTATGTTCCCCACTGGGATTTCCTCCTAGGGCTAAATCACACTGGGAGAGCATTAAGTATCTCTGTTCTGCCAGCTCTTCTCCCATGGACCTGTTGGGATGCTTCCTTTTTCTCATGCCAAATCAACCATCCCTCACCCTACTGAGCTGGACACCCCAAAGGCTCTAGGGGTCCCTCTCCTCTCCTCTCTGCACTCTCTCACTCTCCCCTGTTGATCTCACTTACTCCCATGAGTTCAACTCTCATCTCAAAGTGGCAATTCCCAAGTCTATCAACTAATCTCTAACCTCCTTCCTGAACCTTAACCCCATCCCTGCCTCTTAAATCTCACCTAAACCTCCCCCATTGGCATATCAGACTCAACATGATCAACACAAAACTCATCATTTCCTCTATAAAATCCTGCTTGGCCCCAAACTTCCTTTTTCCCTTTGAGTGTGCCGTCATTCTACTAGTCAATCAAATCTATAACCCTGGAGTCATCCTCCACTCTCCTCTCTTATTTATCCTCTACAACCAATAATACTCATAATGATCAATAACATTTATATAGTT